AAAATTTTATAAAAAAAATCTTCAAATATTACTTTAACATTATTATGCAGCGTCTTCATAACCTAGGATGAGACTCTTTTGAAATTTGTACACTCTGAACGCAGATGATGATGATGATGATTTTGTATCTTAAACAAGTGAGCATAAGATGAGCTTTAGTCAATTTGAAGTCCATTTTAAGAGTAAAAAGGAAGCATACCACAAGCTAACAAATTAGTAAAGTCTCTACAACCATTCATTTTACCAGAATGACGTGGTGCCAACAGACATTGCTCAGAGCCTGATACCAAGATTCCATCGTCACACAGGATCGCTTCACTCGTTCTTCTCTCTGTGGATCATAGAATATATATTATTAGTTATGTGGACTCCCGGCTGCGCCCCGACAAGTGAGAATTTAGTCCCTGCAATTGACCTCTCACAAAATGTTCTTCAGTTCAGCAGTGGTTAAATATTTGTAGGACCCCTGACCCATGGTTCTTGCCTTGAAACTTTGAGACGGTCAGAACTAGTTGCGAATGCAAAAGGGTATTTTGGTGTATCAGAATCTTTAGAAATGCCTCATTTGCTTCCATTAGGCTACCGTCTTGTCTTACCTTCTTTACACACGACTGGTCCTATTTTCAGTGGTATTTCTCGTTCGTAAAGATCGTTGTTAATGTACATACTGAGTGGTCGTTGGAAATATCCTTCTAAGACCTGGAATTCAAACTCATCCTGGCCGTACCAGTAGGTTACTGGTCGTGTACAAGTACATCTGAAATACAAATAGTTTATACACAAGGGTAACTAGTAGCATTCAAGTCCCGAAGTTGATACCAGTGGTATATAACACTCTAGCAAGGATAACGTCATTGGATATGCGGACTAGATTGTGGAAGCTGAGGCTGGCCTGGCTTTGGCCTGGCTTTGACCTCCCAATTGTCAGATTCCTTATAAGGAAAGTTGAGTTGAGAAACTAGGTCACCTGATATAGCAGTCACTTAGAATAGATCATAATCCAATCATATTAACCAACCAGATTACAGTATTTTACTTTGGTTCATTTGTGCTCCAATGGGGCCTTGCTCTTTTAAACATGACATGCGCCCATAATGTAAACACTTACTTGGATTGGCCATTTTGGCAGGAATCTTTGAAAATGCAAGAGCAGTTCCCTTCAGGGAAGTCGTCCAACTCAACTAACCCAGTGCCGTAGTTAAAGAGGAACCTTTCCGGGCGAGACACATTATTATAGAGGCACTCGATCCTCAGATACTGCTCACAGTTAGTATATCGGTTCGTGATGTCGTCAGCCTTCCAACCCCCTAGGAGGCTTACATACTTCACCCCAAATAAAGTTTTTAACAGCAACCCTTCGTCCTCATGATGAAAAATATTGTTAATATATCGCAAATCGGACGCAAAATCACATTCCACTTCGAATGTTTCCGTGCTTGCAGTATCGTCATGGAACGCAGGCTCGAATATAGGGTTTCCGTTGATATCTAACATAATGTTGCCATCAGAATCGAACAAAGGTCCACCACCACCACCGCCGGAAGTAGATGATTGTTTAAGCACTAAATACTTCCCCGACTTCCGGTATCCGTCTCTATAGTAGTCCCCACAAGTACGGTACACCTTCTTCAAGCAGTCGGTTGGTTCATCTTCACGATAGTTACCGGAGCAATCGACTTGACCGTCACAAAACATGGCTTTAGTGATGCACTTTCCATCGTAACACTGGAACGAGTCGGGTGAACATTGATCTGAGGAAAGAAATACAAAACCATTCCTCAAATGTATAAATATTGTTATATATAAAAAATTTTATTTTTGACTTAGGGTTTCGTTTGCTGCTCGTATCGTCAGCAATTGGCTTTTTATTCATTATTCATCAGACACTTTGAGCTTGAGTTTACCAGCTAAGGAAAAGTGATTAATTTGTACCTGCACAATGCACTAGATTTGAAGACTCTAGAAGGTTGCACCGTTTTCTTTTCCTTCTTAAATCTTTAAAAGGTCTACTCGAAAAGTTCGGCTGAGTTCTGCAACTTTACGGAAACTACCGAGAGTTACCGACAGCTAATATATCTCCCCACATTTGGTTTCATCTGACAAATCCATGTCAAATTTTTGTTTTACTTCTTGATGATACTCTGAGCTGTTGCTGTAAACTACTGTGAAAGTTCAGCAAGTACTCTGCAACATTGAGGGAAACCATCCAAAGTTACCCAATGCTAAGTTTCTGTACCTACCACAGTTGATTTCATCAGAAGAATCCAAACAGTCAACAATCATGTTACACCGCCTGTTTCTCTCAATACACTCTCCGTTCTCACAGCGCCATTCTTCTGAACTACAGTTCCTAGCAACTGAAAAAATTAAAAAGATCTTTTCATACGACGAGAGGGTCGTAATATTCACGAGTTTCATGCGCGTCTTTATATTTACAATATAAATCACATGTTTAAGCGTGTTGATGGGTCGGTTTGAAAATCACGTGACATAACGAATATTTTATTACCCCTGATCATATACAAAAAGGGAGGGTCAGTTCTTACCACAAAGAAGTTCATCGGAGCCGTCTCCACAGTCGTCTTTAAAGTTACAGTAAAACATTATCGGAATACATTTACCATTCTCACATCTGTAGCTAGCGTCATTACATACTGTATAATCTAGAATATTAGTAATTAGCAATGAAATAGAGTTTTACGCCATTCTTACACACCCTTTATTGGGTTTATGAAGACATGGAAGGAATGCAGAAAGGTTATAAGGAGAAAGTAGAGTCAAAGGAAATTTACATTTGAAAATTATCAAGGAGTTAATCCTTTGAAATTTAAGACCACACTTACCACAGCCAACCTCGTCTGAAGCATCAGAGCAATCAGAGATCCCATCACAAACCGAGAGACTGGAAATATATTCTCTGTTGGCACATTGGTGGGTAGTTTCGGATATGAATGTTGGTGTTCTCTCTTTGATAGTTGATTCTAAAAACATCCCGAAAATATATAAAATATGACATTTTACGTCACACGTGAAATCTGAATAAGCCGACGACATTTTAATGAGTAACGTTTTCCCAGGACGGCATTAGCCTATTCCCTAAGGATGTTTAACAGTCGAGAATCTAAAAGCAATTTTAAATTTTTTTATGAGTTTAAGATTAGCTGTTCATGATCATGATTTTGTTTGCAGACTGCTTGCTAACTTACCTGTTATGACCGTGGAATCATTCCTATCACGTGATATCTCACAAATATACTGATAAACCGTGTTTAAAGCACATGACACGTCGTTCCAGGACTTGGAGAACTTACTGGACCGGACGCTCATCAGGACACAGTTCTCTGTGCCTTCACCATCTGGCTGTCTTTCTTCCCTGTGAGGATTGAATACATGTATCAGAATATATCTGTCCATGTGTTTGTACAGAGCTTGTAGAATTAGGTCAAGACATAGGAGGTTTAAAAGAATGAGGACGGCATGGCGTTATAAGCTCGGGCCGTCTCTAGTTTGTTAAGGCTCTTTGGTTGGGACGTTTTTGATATGAAATACATTATCGCACACATGTACTACTAGATTCTTAATTCCCAAAGTTTTTGCTCATTGGAGTCTTTCAAAATTATTCATTCATTTTACATTTGTACCATGGGAGTTTCAAAAACCCTAAAACAATATCATGAGTGATCTTACCAGCTGGTATACATCATGGGATTATCATTCGTCCATCGAAATTCACCGTTAATTTTTCTCAATCCTGAAAAAATATTCACAAACTAGAATAAAAGGATCATCATATTTGGGCAAATTTGCAAACGCGGGGCGGTCTCAAAGCTATTGTCTCTGATAAAACTTTCCGTCTTCATTAGCCCACATGGTGCAGAAAAGTAGGACGCAAAAATTCATTCATTTCATTTTCCGATATATCTTTCATGCTACTCCACTGATGCTTTCACATCTCAAGGGAGGGATATGGTGATTTGGCACAAAGCTGTTTTCGGGCGAAACACTGGCATTGTTGAGGTCTCCCAATATAAAAAAAAATACCCAGGTCCATTTATCAATATGTGCTCCCATATACAAAAAAAAAAAACCCAAAAAACAAACAAAAACATAACAACCTATATAAACGTCCTGGTTGACTAACAATTCCACTGTAAAAAATAACGAGTACACGAATACCATTTCCTGATGGCTCTCGATGTTCACAAGTGATCCGCCCTTTTGCTGACATTTGTCCCGAGCTTGATACCATGTCATCACTTCCGGTGCAACAAACAAACGATAACAGCCGCCATCATGGCTCAGCCAACCTACGTCACAGTTCTCTGAAATCAGAAAAAGAAGCTTTGCGAGTCAGCAAACCTAATGACCCAAAGATCATAGACCATGTGAACTCTCTGAAAGGGGAGCTGAGTTGCCAATCATAAATACCAAACATCAATCGCCCTGTGGTCCCTCTGAAAGAGATGCTGAGTTGACCAAAATACACATCAATAGCTTTGTGACTCTACATGATTGCTTAAATGTCCATTTCTAAAACAATATCATCTATGTGCACTCTCCAAAAGGGATATCGGGCCTCTGACTTTTCTGCCAATGATTTGGTTAATGAAGAAAGGCAACCATTGAGCATGAGACAAGACCGTCGTAAATACAAAAACAAGTAAATTGCAAAAAAAAAACCTTACCGGTGGTGGGGGTTTTTGCTGTATTAGTTTTAATGGTATATTTCAAGAGGAATCCAGTGGTCTCGGGCTGCCGTTGGTTCGTTTGAGCAGCTTTACTGTATTCCACTGTCATCTCTCCCCAGCGTGAATAAATAAATTTAGGGGGTGGGTTCAGACCACAGTATTTTCCGATTTTGATTTTGTTTCTTTTGTAATCTGTATCGTATATGGTAACTGACGACAATTCACACGATGATTTTTCACTATACATACTGAATTCTAGAACCTCCAGCTCGACATAATCTCGGGTGAAGTCAGTCGATCTGATGATCCACGGACAAAAAAGACCATTGACGTTGACTTGCTGTGGGTGATACATAGAACTAAGATACCCACATCTTTTTTGACAGATCGGAGCAAAGTTGGCAGGGCAGGAATGGTCTTGAACATAATCACATCCTCCACAGTCATCTTCTGGAAAGAGACAGCAAAATGACGATGATGATGATGATGAAGATGGGAATGAAAGATGGTGATGATGATTGATGATGATGAAGACGATGATGAAGACGGCAGTGGTAGTGACGTGACGGTAGTCCACAAGCGCAACCAGATAGTCTCAAAAGTGTTTGGGGAGGTCATGCAATTATATCCGAAAAGGTGTAGCTTCCCGACTTAAATCCAATTCTAAAATGAGCCATAAAGCTTCAGTGCGCTGTTGGTCGGGTGGCTGTCAAAACTGAGCTCTCCCAGTTATGTAAGCGCCAGATAAAGTACACGTCTTTATGATTACAGTAAAATCAAGTTGAAACAAAGACAAGGTTACCAGCTTGTGAGATCTGCAGCTTAAAGCCACGAGCAGGAGCGGGTAATGATGATGAACAAGTTGTAAATTTCAAAATGAACTCGTTGTTGGGTGACCTGAAAATACTTCCTGAAATATAATGAATTGTTCTGTATCTTATTGGACTAATGAAATGAAATAAAGTTTTATGTCCCACTGTTCTGTATCTTATTGGACTAATGAAATGAAATATAGTTATATTCGCAGTTCGAAATAGCTTGACATTGTGAAGATGAGTCAAGGTAATAGGAGCAGTTCGTGCATTGTGAAGATGGGGATATCTATGCTCTTACCGATGAATAGTTGGTAGTTCTTGTGATTTAGATGGATAAATGTGCTCATTGTAAGCGTGGGGTTATAGATCCTGATATAGTCTAAACACTGTCCCACCGGTCTACTATCGCCAATCAACCATTCTGTATTCTGGTAATGGTTTGCGTCCAAACCGTCTTCCTGTAATATTATGATAAGAACAGTAAGATGAGGGAGTCAGATGACCACAGGGGTGGGTGCAAAGCCGGAACAACTTTTTTTTCTGATATGGTCACATTCGTTCTTATGCTGCCGACGCGTTTTGGATACAGAAACCTTATCAGGACAACAAGATTTGAGATGGGGATGAAGAGAAACGTGCTCGCCTGTGGCGAGTGACTTAAAGTGTTGTCTAATATTTTGAAAATGGTGAAGTTCCTATTCGAAGCCTGACTCTTCATTGGCAATTGATGCTGCCGATGTGTGTTTCGGATAAACAATCCTCATCATGGCAACTAACTTTGGAAAATGATGTGCTTACCCTTGGCGAGCGGCTTAAGGAGATGTCTAATATTTTCAAAATGGCGAACGTTCCTATTGGAAGCCGGACTGTATATTCCCAATCGATTCCAGTATCATAAATGGGGTAGGACGGCGACGAAATGGTACCAGGTTCGGTTATAGTTCCTTTATATACACCCTTACTGTTTACATCTAAAAACAGAATAAAATAGTCATTGGCAATTACCAAAAGTGACTTTTGCTCCATCATGCCTATTATTGTGTTATGTACAGGCCTGTAATCAGACTTGGTTGTTCGTTTAGTCGCAGTGATGATATTGGTCGGTTCTCAGATCAACCTCTTCTCCCCTGAGACACTTCACCCCCACCCATACCATACCTTACCTTTAATGCAGAGTCTTTGTCCATAAAAATCTTCATCAGTTGCTGGAACCATTCTATGTATGTAGTGGTGATTGAATCTATGAGGGGTCCGTAGTATACATGAACCGTTCTTGTACTGGATGGACCCACAAGTCTGTCGGTTTTCATCACAAAGCTCTAGACATTCCGCTACATCGTCAACCATTACCGTTCTTTCAAAATCAGCCAATGGTAAATCGAGTTTCTTTCTCTGGGTTATGCCATGACCAATGAAATCGGAGCTTGCTGCACAGTTAACATCTCTTAAAACTAAAATGTAATTGGACAAGTTACTGTAGCCAATAGTTAGTCGAGATTCTTTTCTTAAGTAACGCTGTGAATAATGAATTTGGAGCTTGCTGCACAGTTTACATCTCTCTAATTATAGATAATTTTGTATATAAACTACCAAACCAAGAGTACCATACCATCCAATTGATCCTGATCTTACTGCCAACAACTACGATATGCGATATAAGTTATCTGGAAGCGAGTGTTAATCGGACATCTACCAACTAACCAGGTCCGATTGTTTGAAACAATCCATGCAAAGTTAAAAAAAAAATCCAAAATCTGGAAAAGCACAGACAACTTAAAGCAGAGAAAATCTGAGTTAGTTACCATTTCTGAGACAGCCCATCAGTTCCAGTTTAAAACAAGGTTGACCAATGTATTGGACTATAGTGATTTTAATATATCGGGTGACTATACTGTGGGGTAGAATATACAGCCTCTCTGATATCACCCGCGGTTGGAAGCTGAAATACTGAAAAAGTTAAAAAAAAAAAAAAAAAAAAGGTCCGTTATAATAAGTGAGAGAGGTGCACCCAAAGACCACCCGCGGTTTCATAAAAAACGCTTATATCATTAACATTTACTGTGGTGGGTGTCGCTGGTGAAGTCGGCCCTTTTGGTATACCTTTAAACATCCCAAAAGACCGTTATATTAAGTTCTGCAATGGATTTCGCGAGAGAGACCTACTTGTGCAGCTGATCTGGTGCAATGTCTTTCCAGATTCAATGCGGCATCGTGCTTCGTGCCAACGCTTTCACAAATCTGGTACGATTAAGAGTGGAAAGGCGTGAACCTCTGGCTTTGTAAGATTGCGATGATCTATGATCTATGAATAGAAATGCACCATGCTTACATCTAGCCAAAGAAGGATGATACAAGGGGAAAACACCATTACACTGTTTTAATTGCTGTGATATATTAACAGAAATGACCTTACGATTATATCCCCGGCATCATCTGTAACGTATTTAAGATTATCACGCCCCATACCGTACTGTACAGTAAAATTAGT